GACTACCGTTCGCGGCCTTCCCGCCAAAACCCCGCTCGTCATCACCTCCGGCCAATAGCATAAAACGCCACTCTTTGCGCTGCAGAGCACCACACTCACCTCTTCCGCGCCCCTCTTTGTCCCCGGGGACCTAGCGGCGGCGGCGGCGGTGGCGGCTTTCTCGGCGGAGCTCCTGCTGCCCGCCTTCGGGATGATGCACACGTGCCATCTGTCTCCGTGCCTCTGATCCGCCAGTCCCGATCCCGACGACTGCAGCAGCTGCGAAGGCAGCTGCAGCTCCGTCCACCGATCTGGCACCTTGCCAGATAGATAGCCCCAAAGGAAGAGCTTTTCGGAGCGCAGCGCCCATGACAAGCCTGTTTGGCTGTCAATACCCCCACAGAGAATGCGATCGTCCTGAAGATGATGCCGCACAGGTCCACGAGCCGCAGCGTCTTGAGGATGGCTGTCCAGCAGCAAGGGCTGAGGGAGGTCGCACACAAGAATGGGCAGACTTGCATCCGCCGACTCTCCTCCTAACGCAGCTTTGCCGACAGAGGGAACCCGCCCAAGAACTCCCGCCTTTCTTCGGCGTGCGGATCCGGCGGTAGCGTAGGGTGTAAAGCGCGCCGAGGCAGGGGTGGCTGCCGCAGGGGTCGCTGACACACCGAGTATCGTATCTTGCCCCGGATCTAGGCGATTACCCCCGTACAATCCCCCCCCCCCCCCCTCCAGACCCCTCCGTCAGTTCCCCCTGGTGTTGGCACACCCATCGACGTCATACCTAAAGGTGTCATAAGCCCGGGGGTCGACAGCCCCGGCGTAACCAACCCCGGTGTCCCGCATGGCTCCCGATCTCGACGTCTAATTGGAGGCCGAGATTTCTTCGAAGACGAAAACATCTCTCTCACTCTCTCTCTCTCTCTCTCTCTCTCTCTCTCTCTCTCTCTCTCCAGCCTGCCTTTCGATGTCGTCTCGCTTCCCTCCCCTCCTCCTTGCCTCTCCCTCCCCTCCTCTCTTCAGTCAATCCTCTGTCATTCTGTCTCCCGCCTTCAACTTGCCTGCCCCCAGCTCTAGAGCTGTCATCATAGCTCCACCTGCCTCTCGGAACACCTCGCTGTCTCTCAAGATCTCTTCGACGCTGACCTTCGATCCCACTCTATCCGCCGCGCGCGCGCGCGCCAGCTCATGATCTTCGTCATGCAGCAGCAGCACCGCTTCGAATGGGTCGCCCAAGCAGAGCGAGTTGGGTCCATAGCAAGTCTCTGCGGCGTAGAAGAGGCACGTGGCCCTCAAGGTCTCGAAGTACTGGTCGTCGCTCCATCCCTCATCCTCGTACATCCTCTGCAATCCCGACCAATCATCGACCTCGGTGGCCCTTAGCCACGCGGATTCCAGGAGCGCGCGGTGGTCCCAGCGAAACTGCGTTCCCGCCAACGCGAAGACCTCGAAAGACAGAGCGACGAACTTCGTCTCGGTGGAGTGCAGCAAGCGCTCTATGATCTCCGCAGGTGAAAGTGGGCAGTCCTCCATCAATCCTGCATCTACGGCGTGTTTCTGGATCTGCAAAATCCCTCTGACAGCATCGATCTCCCCAACTCTGTAGCTGTTCGAAGCCCTAGGGTCGGCCACCATAGCCGAGAGCTTGGCAAGGCAGAGAAGCTTGCGCCTCTGCGCTATGCTCTTCCCGCCCATCGCTTTACAGCTCTCCAGTGAGCTGATGTCCGCTAGCGAGAGACTTGCCTGCTGGTACTGCTGACGATAAAGTTCGTGCAGCCATCGCAAGTGCTTGTGCGGCTGCAAGAAGGCGGAGAGCTCATCGCGGAAGTCGGAACCGAAGCGCAAGAGCCGCGCATGCTGCGCTCGCTGCATACACCTGTCGAACATGAACCGACTGAATCTCCCCTCCCGATCCCGACTGCCGCCGCAGTTCTTCATGTAGTCCTGAAGCCGCTTCCAGTCGCCGAGCTCTTCGCAGATGTCCGCGAGGGTCTGGAAGCCATGGTGTTTGTCCGCGAGCTTGAGAAGGACCTCGTATTCCCGCGCGAGAACCGCTTGGCGCTGCGCCTCCCCGGCTCTCCCCGCACGCTGCCCGGCTTGATCCGCCAGCTCGCGCGCGTACTGCCTGAATGCGTTGAGCAGCCGGTCTCTCATCTCCCCATACTCTGCTCGCAAATGCCTGTCTTCAAGTCTCTTGTCTACTACAGCATCAATGGCGCCCTTGTAGGCATCAAGCAGGAGATTGGCAAGCCGCCGAAGCCGCACCATCAGCTCAGGAACCAGGGAAGGCTCGGAGGCAGTTAGCTCCACCTTGAGTTGCAGAAAGAGCGTGACTAGGGTAGATAAACCCATGCGGACGGAAGAGCAACAGGTCCAGGGTTCCAGCCCGTCCAGAGGGGGATACCACTTCGCCTGCTTCTCCCTATACCTAAAAGCCGCATCGATGGTTGCCGTGCATGCATCTGCGATCTCGCAGAGCCTCTCAAGCTGAATGCGAGCGGGTTCCACTGTCGGCCGACCAATCACCGAGGCGGCAAGCAGACGAACGCCCTCAAAGAACTCTTGCAAAACCGATACCCGGGTATAAAACACTTCGGCTCGATCGCGCTCCATGAGGACTGCGTTACTCCTCCGCGCTCTTTCTCCCACACCCTGGACCACCTTCCATAATGCGCTTCCTCCCGCAAGACCCTCTCTCTCTCCGCCTCCGCCAACTCCTAGCCCCCCAACACTTCCCCCTCCCCCCCCCCGCAAACCACACATATCCCCTCCTCCTCCTCCTCTTCTTTGTAGTTGAGCTGCTGTCTTGGCTTCTGCCATCTTGTTGTGCACCTGCCTTAGCTGCGCCATTGCCGCCACCTTCTCTCCGTGCTCCATGATCCCATGCAGGGCCACCCATTTCGCGTTGGAATTGCTTTGATGATCCTTCAGCTCGTCGTAGGAGCGCGTGACCTGCAGGAACTCTAGAAACTGCCGATGACGTTTCTGCTTTTCCGCCAGATGGACGGCGATGGCGGCAACGCCGCCGCCGGCCCACTGCTTCGACAACGTGTCGATCAACGCTCTGCTCGTTCGCACGAACACATTCTCGTATCCGTCAACATCAAAAGCGCGGGCCATCTTCAGCTTCTCGAAGACTCCATCGACGACGCCGGTCATGAGGTACTGCTCAAAGAGTTTGCCCACCACTTCGTCGTCTCTGGAAGACGACGAAGAAGGAGAGGAGGAGCTTCCTCCACCAGCAGCAGAAAAAGAAGCAAGGGCAGCGCCGCCTGCGCCTTCCGCTTCGCCTTCGCCGCCATGGCCATATCCATAGCCATAGCCATCTTCCATCGCAGCGGTGGTGGCATCCACCTCCCTCTCTCGGACCATCTCTCTCTCTCTCTCGTCTGCTGCTTCAACCCCCTCGCCCCCGCCCCCGCCCCCGCCGGCGGCGGCTTTCCGCTCGGAGGGTTGTCGGCTCAGACTCCGACCGGGCGTCGTGTCCGCCACCAACCCCCCGATACCCACACCACCGGGCAATCCCCCGCCCCCCCCACCTTCCTCCGCCTCTCTCTCTTCGGCCAAACCTTCGGCTCTCATGATCTCCTCGGGCACCGCCAGCACTCCCCCCCTCTGTGTCAGTATCAACCAATCTCCAATCCCGTACCCAGCTCCAGACGCTTCCACGGACGGCTCCGCTAGCGGCATTGCTGCCGCATCGAGCACTTCGCCCATCGGCTGCGCCGCCATGTACTGGTAAAGCCGCTGCCGATCTGAGCCGTAGATCATCGCCGTGCCATCTCCGCCCATAATCAACACCGATCCCGCCGGTCTTCCGCCCACTCTCAGGCGCACCGACAGCACCACCTCCGCACCCTCCACCCTCCCCTTCTGTACGATCACTTTGGCAGGACCCACCGCGCGTACGTTGGGCACACTCGATTGGCTATGGCCATCTGCTCCTGCTGCACTGTTGTTTATGGCATTGTTCCCTCTGTGGCGGTCAAATCCGTACGTGTGTACGGAATACTGCACAAACGCCTGCTGGCGAGCGGCTCTCTCAACGTACAAGGATGCTGCCAAGACCGTCACAAGACTTCCTTGGGAGTCCACTTGTAAGTCCAGCAAGCAGATGTGCGCAGGACCTCCCAGCTCCTGGTACAACCGTTGATCTTCCAAGATGTCCTGCGACCAGATCATCTTGCAGCACCCGCCACGTGTCATCTCCACATCCCAGCACTCCATTCCCCTCGTTGTCAACAGAATGAGCTGCCGCCATCCCTCCTCCTCCTTCGTCGAGTCCTCGGCGTTGGCCCATTGCAGCGCGCGGATGTCTGGCGCGCCGCTCGACACGACTGCAAAGCTGTGCCTGGGAGAAGACAGCCCCCCCCCTCCGATCGTGCAAAACCCCGCCCAGCTGGCCGATATCCCCCCCCTCGTTACGTCCCTTCCGATCTGGGCCCTCAAGATCCTTTCCTCCCCACACTCCACGCGCCAAAGACTTCCATCTACGCATGTCAAGACGACGAGACAAGTCACCTCCGCCGCCCCTTCCCCCTCGATCGAGGTCCCGACCATACCCGTAACATACATCATGCTCGGCCCACCACCGCCGCCACCGCTCCCCCTATTGGCGCCGTCCCCGGCCAAGCCCTTTCCCCG